AACATACCAAGGTACGCTTGAACACAGCAATATTTATATATAAGCCAAAAATATGGGTTTTTATAATTATTTTATACCTTCCATTCCAGACATTCTCTTGTATGGAATGTTAAATAGTTTCCTAAATAACTAGGAACTGTCTTTACACTGAAAATAATTAACATTTAAGAAATATATAAGGGATATCCGGAGGGTGGCTTAAAATTTTGAATTCTAGATGAACATTAAAACCTCTGTAAAAAGATGGGCTTAATTTCCAGGCATCCAAGCTGTATCAGAGAATATAACCCTCCAACAAAGTTGCATATAAAATGACTAACAAGGGTAACTAAGCATTGTATCTTAATATATTACTAACAAGAATAAGTATCCTGAGGAAGGGCGGGCGGTATAAATACGCGGCACGTGCGCGAGCGCAGCTGCCCGCCACGTGGCCTCCTCTTTACAGATTCCCGTAAAAATAGATCATTGTCTTGAATCGCGGACACGCCCACAGAACATATTAAATACCACATCAAACGGTTAAGCTTCGAATCGATCTAACACTGTTTAAATTCCAGAGTCGCGGCTATAATGTTTTTACAGGTCCGTGTTTTATGATGTTTGAACTGGAAAATTCAGTGCTGATACACATGTCTGTTACTGTTCTTTTGTTGGCTCGTTTATGGTGGTCATAATATGGGGCTATGAATTTAGTAAGTGTTAGTTTGATATCCTGTAAGTATTACAAGTAGAACATAAAATAAGGGTGTAAAACACCCAGAATGTACTCGCCTATACTTAATTATTTAGTTTAGTTCTATGTAGGTTAGTTTTGACTAGGCTTCAGCGACGGCAAACCTCAAAGCTATTAGACACAAAATTTCTTATTGGGATCATAGATCTCAAAGCAATAGCAAAATATATAATTTCTTGATAAAACTGATTCAATTGATTAAATAAATATATAAGTTCATTCTTATGCTATAATTCGATTCTAACATCAATTGTAGTATCTCTCGACATCGATTGACATCGATCCGATTGTACAACAATGTTAAGTATTACATATGTACATATATAAGTTTAAAAAAATCAACAACAACTATTCTCTTGAGGAAATGCTTTTTTATTATAGTTTAGATAAGTCTGAACATCCTCTAACTCCAGAATGTTAAGTAGCTCTTGAAATAAAGTGTCGTAAGACAATGGACCGTACAATATTTTACCTTACTTCCGCTTTGTTAGTTACAAATTAGTCATAAAAATTTCACGTACTCCGAGAAACTGCACAATGGATCTAAAAGAATTGCTGTCGAAGATTTTGAGTGGGTATTGTCGTAAATAGACCCTTAAAGTTACAACTTTATTCATCTCTGTCAACATTTGAGAGTACAAACAACAAACCTACCTGGCTTCCTAGCGGACTAAATGGTAAGGGTAAGTACCGTAAAGTGCAATTTTAATACGGCCGGGGAAACTTCTCCCCTCCGATCGATATGCGTCCGCCATCTTGAATTTTCCGACCAATGCGCGTAGCCATGGAAAACGGTTTCCATGGCAACGCGACGCGTCCGCTTGAAGGGGAAAGTGTTACGGGGTAGGCTCTATATTTATAGCCTTATCTCTGCACCACAACTTTATATAGCTATGTGCTGTAATATTCTCGTATTTTGGTAACATTATCATTTTTCACCTCATGGCAGTACATAAATTAAATATGTATTTCGATTGAAAATTATTATACTTACAACAAGTTTTTATCAATCTAATTAGGCTTTATAAAATTCTTGTAAAGCATCAAAACTAGGGGAAAAAACCGTTAATTGCAAGATTGTTAACTTAAGAAAAAAGTAATAACATGTGAAGAAAACAATATGAATTTGAACCGACATACAATTAAGAACATATATACTGCACTTTGTAAGTATGCCATGCGTATATAATATACAACATATGTATTAAAAGACAATCTCAAATCTTCATCATATCAACGGTACATTCAGTACACAAACACGCATCTCCACCAAACGTTTTGTTAAATTGTTGTGCCAACACCGTTGCTTATATCACAAAGCCACCGTCATGCCAAATCCTTTCAACTCAAGTAAATTCCACTGTTGACTTCCTCCTCTTTGAGCATTTCATTATTTAAGAACTTGTTTATAGCTCTAGTGGTATTACGAACACCTGCATCGACCTACCTGTGAAACGAAATCTTCTATGTTTCCTGCGTTTGTTAGCCAACAATAGCCAATAAGGTTGTAACGCTTGAATGCGATGTTCAATACAATGTTCCTTTGCAGCTTAAATGTATTTGCTCAATGAAACTTCTCGCGACACCTCAATTACTTGGAAATTTACAAAACCATCAAGTGTCGCTAATTCCTCTTTGTTAACGGAACGATCTATTCAAATATACGTTAATTGTAGAATTTGTCATGCTTGTTATATTGATATGGAATTGGAACCTTGAACCACACCAAATCTATACATAATGTTATAAAGTTGACGAGTTTGTTTGTTTAAACGCGATAACCTCAGGATCTACTGGTTCGAATTGAAAAATTATTTATTAAAAAGTGTAACAAGCGTTTTTTACTTTCCGTGAATGTATGAAAGAATGATTCCTTTTTAAATGAACTAAAAAATGTCCGCGACAGTATATTTCTATTCCATAAGATTAACTCGCAAGAACTGTTTTAAAGGTAGAAAAAAGAAGCTTGGTAGAAATAAAGGCATTATTTATTAAAGTTGTATCAGCATTATAATCTTGCAAACAACAAAAAACAAACCGGATCAGCTACTCGTAGATTTATGTTGCAATAATAATTCGTTGGTTTTGTAGAGAATACCATTAACTTAAGATAACCCTATATTATGTCAATAAAAGCTCAAGTTTTGTTAAAAAAAACTGCTTTAAATGTATAAAAATATCAATTTTTATGTTATACTAATCTATGTTGGAGATAAATGTACACGATTAAATTATGTTAATTCGATAATTATATCTTTACAATCGTAATAACACAACCTAAATATCGAAACGCGTCCAATTTAGTTAGTATCGACTGTCGAGTCGAGTCACCTACATTGGAGCAGTCATAATTAATTTGGAATTACCACAGATGTTGATTTAACTAACACAGATATGCAGTAATTAATTGTAAATACAGACCCTATTAATGCATTAACAAACGCTTATCTACTTTATAGCTGTGCCAGCGACTTCGTCCGCGTGGAATAGTTATTTTAGGCAACCAAATTCGTTTTTGCAAACGCCTTCATCTTTACAAACTTAAACTGTCACCCACGACCGGGTCGCGTCGCTTGCCGTCGTTCTTGCAAGTCAACCTTTGAAGATAGACATAAAGCATCTGGACTGTTTTTCTTCTTGCGTTATTTTATACATATTTTTTGCGTTTCTTGAACGGTTTTCGTAGCGTGCGTATCGGAAAATCACAAAGAAGAAATTTTCCCCGTTCTTTCCACATTTCCTCAGATTCAAACAAACAAATAAACTCTTTAGCTTTATATATTAGTATAGATATGTTGTTTAAAAGCAGTAGTTTTGCTGGTTCTTCTTTGCACACAAATTGAAGTGAATAAGATCAAAATTCTTAGCTTTTGAACTTGCAACATTTGTTTTTTCCTACCACGCACCACTGTACTGTGAAATCAGCTGCTAACTTTAGCATTTCTGTTCTAATTGTTATGAATTAGGACGTCGAAACATCTTCAGGACGATTGGTGTTGTAGATGGTCCATGGGCCGCGGAAGGCACTTTCAATCAGGTATTCCGCTTATATGATCTTAGTTAACAACAATTCCAAATCTTAAATGCAACGCTTTTAATGGTTTAATACGCGATTAAATAGTTAATCAAGGCTGTGCTGTAAAGCATCTAAAACTTCGGATCGTAGGTGGAAGTAATTTTACTAATATTATTCGCTTTTAAGGCATCAAAGGTGATTTATTTAATATAAACTACTAGCTCCCTTTATTGATCGAAGTTAAGAGCCTAAAATACCTACATCACATACTTTTAGTTATGAAGTAACAGTTTGTAACGGCAGATCAGTATTGTATCCTTTTTTAAAGCAATTATGTATTTAAATAAAACACAACGGTTTTAAACGCGTTATGTATTAGTTAAAATAATTGGTGAATAACTTTAACTAATATATTGCGTTTTAAACCGTTAAAAGTGTTTTATTTTAGCATGTACTACTCGCGTAAATTAGAGACAGCAAATATTGAAGAGAAGAGTATTTTTCAATTTATTTCTTATTTTAGTTTGTCGCATCTACACAATGGATTCTTCGATTCTTAAAATTTACGACGTTGGAACAGACAATAATTTAGTATTGAGGCGATTTAAATGAGATTCTCCATGACCTGGCTGACATAGAATTCTTATCTTAAACAAGGTCTCAGCCCACACACGAACCAAAGATCATTGACTCTGCAGGTGTCGAGGCGCGCATCTCGAGTGACGTCATCGAGCATTGCTTTACAAGTAGAGAATGACTGAGGCTTCGGCTTCGGCTTCGGCTACCTCGTATCCAAAACAACCTCAAAAACTTTAGCAAACATCACAATTTGAAAAAGGAACGAAGTGAGAGAACGATACGTGTGTCAACTTATGTTGGTGGTGGTGACAAGACAACTTTATTTTATCGCTGCTTCGTGGATATAGTGGTCAGTGTAGTCGATTTCGAATCACGATGTCCCAGATTCGTCGTTAGTATTTGTCTCGTTTACCATTATTAGTGGTGATAACTGCGCCCCTCTTATAAACTCTCTTTTTCAGAAAAAACGTTGAGCAATGTCAAATAGATTGAAACGATGAACCATAAGAACATGTATTTAATATTGTTTTTTTTCCGAAATACTATCTGTAGTTTGGACGACTTTAAAACGCGAAATAAATTACTTCTTTGAATTTTTTTTAACTTCGGATGCTATATACCATAGTCACGGGAAGACTTGTTAAAATAATTTTCAATCAAGCTTTTTATTTAATTTTTGTCTAGTTCGGCTTCGCTGGATCTTAGCCTTCGGCCGAACACTACCTGCAACCTTATTCGGAGCGGCGCCGGCGCAAGCGCGCTCATTCCACGCTCAGCAATGCGCATTATGTTTTGATTTACGTTTCTATGGCCATATACGTTAAGCGACGCTAGCTTCGGTCCCTTTTCTTTATTCAAACTATTGTTCGTTTCGATTGTCTACGGAAATGAATTATGCATGAATACGATTCCGGCGCTTTGCCGCGTCGGCAATAAAAAGTTATTTGCCTATATGCAATTCCAGCCTCACCTGGTTGAGGAGTAAAAACTCAGTGACCATTTCGGAGCAGAAATCTCTCGCTGCGGCATTTCGGTCCTCCATATTTAGCTGGTGTTCCTTAAGGGTCGACGTTTCTTGTCTCTAACTCAGGATGGAAAGTTGCTCCAACCATATAACCGGTGACAGAAGTTAAGCACCCTATTAAAAGAAATCACTGCCTTCCTCCGCGTGCCGTCCGCCATATTTGGTTTAAATATCATTGCATTCTGAGCTTAATAAGAAACGTACACAGGTGCGCTGATATAAGATTTTAACGAACAAGAAACCTTGTTGTCGGATACCTGGAGAATGCTCACAGTCGACGCTTGATTGGCACTTTACCTATCCAATTAAACACAAACACGGGTTAATTAATCAATGGATTCTTTTCTAATGACGATAATATTTAAACACCGTTACGAATACACAACGCATTTCCGTAGGAGAATTCTTCTTAGGTATTGGTCACAGGTTATCAAAGGCCGGCGACAACTCGGCGCCTCCTTATCAACCTGCTGCGACATACAAGAGACATTAGTCACTGCTGTCGATATAGTACCACTATTAGTGCTAGCCACAGAATTAAAGATACAGAAATTCGTATATAGGTATAACATTAACAAATAATAGATTTGTCATTTTATATGACATGAAATCATGACCCCCCCAGGCTGGTTCTGGGCCTTAGGTTAGGATCACTAATTGAACTAGTTGATTTTATTAACAAATTTATTATTTACAAATTTAACACATAAGTGTATAATTAAGAATGAATATTTTAAAGTACATTAACAAAATACTTCTTTTTACTTGTGTCTATTGTTTCAAATTCTCAAATTCAAAATTTAATTAAAAGTTCTTGACTTGAGCACGACTATGTGATCCCCTCCTGGGGCTTAAGCTGCATCCGCCCTTGTTCATAGCAGTGGTCACGTAAAAAAGCGTTTTATTTAAATGTGTAAACTACAGACACGTTTTCTTATTCGGACTCGAAACACAACAACACCGAAATAGCTAGTAAATAAACAATTCATTATTAATATGTATTTAAACTTTCATATAACAAAAAAATATTAATCTCGGAAAGATGAACAATAACACTAGCATGAAAATTAAATTAAAATATTATGTCATTTCCACACATTTATATCATGGTGATGTCTACACACCGTCCACAGACGGAATATTATGTAAACGGATGCTTAAAGGTTGGCGTGTCGCTTACAAATTGCATATTAGATAGAACCATGGTTCAGGTGTTTAATTGTTTTTAAGTTTAAAAAGCTTTTAAAGATATAACATTGATTTCTTTATAAAAAAACTATTGACACATAATATAACCGTTTTTTTATATATTTATAATCACTTTATTGCGAGTTATTTTGATACTTTATCTTTATTTAGTCTTGCCTATATTGAATGTAGTTTACTCGAGTAGTACCTACATATTTAATTGAACTTTTAACGGTTTGAAACCCGAATATATTTACAATTACTTTTACCTATGTTTACTTAACCACTTTACGGCCGTACCTTTCTACATTTACGTTTTATTAACTATTATATTTCGCGTTTTAAACCATTAAAAAAGTTTTATTTAACAATTCTTGAATTCAGCGTTGGAAATTTACCTAATCATCGGCGGTTTTAGGATTTACAATTTCACGTTCTATTTTAATAGATGGTACATAAATAATCTAATAAAGCGGATTTTATATATTATAGGCTACCAATATTGTATCCAACAAAATATCGAAGATAAAGTGTTTTAAGACGAAACTAATAGCGCCTAATAGGATTAGGAGAGCCATTCCCAAGAAATTAAACGGTCATTCCAAAAAATTCAAACCTAATTTAAATTCCAAAATAATCCAGAAAATTATAATGAGTTCAAATGACTGTCCAAAAATGTGGCCAAGGATGTGTCGTTGCGTCTTAACTGGTTCCGTATAACACTTAAATTATAAATTGAACATGTACATGTTATTTATAAAGGTCATATTTACTTTTCTTGTAGGTAATCATTGTATTGTGACTTAGCTCAATTACGGTATTATATTTTAATTTAAATAAGATGTCAAAACGTCTTCCATAATAAATATTAAACAATGACAATACAAAATATTAATAAGATATTGATTTTTAATATTAGCTACATTTCATTCCGTCCACGTTACGAACCACTATATACCTATAGATGAAAAAGCCGTCGAGTTTAATCGCGTTTCGGTTTCAGTCTGTGAATTTCCAAATAAAAAAAGTAACATCTTAAATAAGCATAAATAATACGGAACCCCAAAATGACACTAAAAATCTTGGGAAAAGTCTTCAAAGAGACGACACTGTTAAGGCTTTTAAAACACAATAAAAAAAACTTACAAGTTCCTTCTATACAAAAATGCACCTGAGAATGAAGGCGGGACCACTTGACTATTATTTCGATTAAAATAAATCAAAGCTTAACTATCGCTTCGCTATGTTTACTGTCCATCGACGGTTTGGTAGAGAGCTGTTTTGAAGCATAATAATAAAAAACAAGCAATGTAAAGCACATTAGACTAAATTCGTAATATTTCACGTATAAAGGAGGAAGTTGCCCAGGTAGTGGTTAATAATTCGTTTAGTTTAAGGTGCGCCCACATTTTTTTCCACTTGTTGGGAACTTGGCCCACACAGGTGCACTCACATCCTAATTTACTATTCCCGATACGGTTCAGGATCTCTGATACGACGGATTTAATAGCTCTTTGTAACTATCCGGAGTCGTGATAGGATTTAGCTATCGTACATTTTAATATTAATGGAATAGAGAGAATGTAATTTGTCACCGTCATTTTGATGGATTTGGTAAAGTTGGATAACCTTTGAATATCTTATATTTTATTGTATTTTTACATTATCTTGGTGTGGCGTAGCGATAACTTTAACATTTAAGAACATTCTGGAATTGCAAACTTATTGATACACTTAAATAAAACACTAACAATTTGTAACGCGATATATTAGTTAAACTTATTTGAAAATTATTTATTAACTTCGGCGCGACGTTTCGGATGCTTTGCAGCAGCTTTGCGCGGGGAGACTCGCCGTGACCACGGCTGCTGCTGCAAATAAGTTTAACTAATATATCGCGTTTTAAACCGTTTAAGTGTTTTATTTAAATGTGTACTACTCGCGTAAACTATAGACATTTTATTGATACATATAAATCCAAACTATGTAATTACAAAAAGGGTATTTTATCTGTAGCAAAATGTATTTGAAAGTTAGACATGATCATTGACTGAAAATTGCGGGAAAGTCACTAAGTTCACGACGTGTAGCTGTGCTGTAGATCTAACAATTGACGGTCAATAGTAATGCGTTCATATCTAGCCAAGTATTTAATTTCCAAATATTCGAATGTCAATTTTTCGTTCTGTTGACAAAACAACGAACTAAACATTTTCATAATTTGTTCACCTCCAATTGTTTTACTTCGTAAAAGAACTGTGGAAACCTCACAGTATTTTCATCATAGACTAGAGATTAGACGAATAAAAACCATAGACAACAAATAACAATCCAGAATTCTAGACTACTAAAAAAGCATCATAATTATAATCTGTCGCCAAATACACAGCAACGAGCAACTACTGGGATGACATCATGGCGTAGAAAAGTTAATTGAGCAAATTGCTGTAGAGAATTCGTGAGCAATCTTAATAGATCAGCATCCGATCAATTAGTTGCGATTGTGTTGTTAACTCTCGACTAAACCACTTCGGAGGTTTTTGACACCGAAAACGTGAATTTTATCTTCCAATGCGCACTATTAAAACGTACCACAGAATTGCCTTGCTATCGTTAGTTGATACAAACCGACATTTATTAATCTAGAGAAATATCATAGAACGATAATCATCTACAATTTCTATCAGACACAGCGAACTATTACAGGATATTTCGTTGGTATACCACGGTGCGAAAATAGTTATTCGGTAACTTAAAAAATTTAATGTACCTAAACCACTAATACTTGAAGTTATTTAAATACACTAAGATACAAAACCGTCTCTGTAGCTAAATGTTTAAATGTTTTGCTCCTACATCCGTACGCATATTTTTGTCTGATTTTTTGGTAAAAGCAAAACTTTAATCAGCCACAGAGTACGCCAGTTTATGTCCCACCCACGTCTTTCCAATCTTAATAGATTTTTTTATTTAAATACGTATCAATTAAGGTAAGATGTAGCCGAAGTAAAGACCGTTGTCAAATACTTAAAGTTATGGTAATGCGTTAAAAATATATGCACAGTACCTCACTTAACGGCGTAATGTTTTCCGAAAATAACAAATTAAAGATAAAAGCAACTGTAATGACCTTTATTACTGACTCTAATAAGGTTTGAACGCGTGGGTCGGTCATGGACCTTCAATCAAATCATTTGAAACGTTTGGGACGTGATATCATTAAACGAAGGAATTTTTCGTATATATGTACGTACTTTAGTACCACAACACGCCCGCCAAATAGCGGAAACGTCAGGTCGCAATTTAATTAAGTAACTTTAAATAATTATAAACCTTGTTTTAACTCATTTAGTCAAGCACTTTCTAATTTAAAAATGATAAATATTGTTATATTTTTTTAAGAGTACTGTATTTCAAAGCTGTTTCTTTGCCAACTGCTTCTTTGTTCGCAGATCACGAGGTCCAGGATGTGAATCCCAAGTCGCGCAAAATAGTACCTACTTGTTTGACAGTAGTAGTCAACTCCCGCTAATTTACACTGGGAATGACCACATGAAAGTGTCGCAACGTAGGTTATAGGTAGATAGGTAAATAAGCAATAACTAATATAATCTTTAAAATAATCTTTATTTATAATTACGAAAATTTCTTTGTTTAACATATAACTTAGTTTATTTATATGATGAACATATAATTTAGCCGTATCATGGTTAATATTTTTAATTATGTATTTTCAATATATTTTTCGTGTTATCTGCTTAAAATGCATTAAAAAAAATCTATAATTCTTTACTAGTACTATCAATATGGCTTTAGCACTAAATAGTTCA